GGACGCGCCATCGTCAGCCTTACTGACGCTCCACATTGTTCTCCAAGGTGGCTGCACCAACATACCTTGTTGGCAAACCGACGCTGTCCCTCGGCCCAGCCCAAAGATGCCTCTGCCCATTTCTATCCCCCCAAGTAAATGATTCGCTCCACCTGCTGATGTCCAGCCAGTCCAACCCTCCCCAGACCCCCGCCCCCTCACGTCTACAATTGGGCCTGTGAGGGCTTCCCCCTTCGGGCAGCCGACCCTGCAAATCGCTTCTCTCTGAGCCTGTTTCCGCACCTGGGACACGGAGACGCCTACAGTGACCAGCAACAGGCGAGTGCTGAGGGTTAAGGGAGAAGCATGAACATGAGCAGGAGCTCAATGAAGAGAAGGGTTACTGTTATCTTTGGAGCCCATGGAGGACGCCAACAACTCCATCGCTCAGGAGGACTTTGCTTGTAGGCAACAGAAACCCCATCAAGCCAGTGGGAGAAAACCCGCCACTTATTGGCCCATGTGACTGGGAAGTCTGAGGGGATGTCTGGCTCCGGGTGTGACGGATCCAGGGCTGAGCAGGAGCTGGCCCGTCCCGCTCGGGGCCACTCCCCTCCCTGTCGGCTTCTTCTCAGCAGGCTCCCCAGGTGGGGGCCCTCCAGGTGGGGGCTCCAGGGCGACAGACATCCCTCTGGCTTCACCGCCAGGAACAAAAAGAGGTTCTTCTTCCCAGCACTTCCTGCTCAAGTCCCAGGCCGGTCCTCATTGGCCTGGGCTGGGTCACGTGCCCACGCAGGAGCCAATTGCAGGGTACTCACCCTGCTGCTCAAAGCGTGGCTTTTGGAACAGCAGCATCGGAACCCCTGGGGGCTCCTTGGAAGTGGAGCCTCAGGCCCCTGCCTGACCTACCGAGTCAGAGTCTGCACACGAACGTTTTCAGCTGCTTAGACAATTTTTAAAAAAATATTTTTTTATTGATTTCAGAGAGGAAGGGACAGGGAGAGAGATGGAAACATCAATGATGAGAATCATTGATCAGCTGCCTCCTGCACGCCCCCTACTGGGGATCAAGCCCACAACCGGGCATGTGCCCTTGACCAGAATCGAACCCGGGACCCTTCAGTCCACAGGCCGATGCTCTACCCACTGAGCCAAACCAGCTAGAGCAAACAGACAATTTTTAAGTTCTGTTTTATTGAGAACCACAAAAGGTAAAAACTAACAAAGCCTTCAAAGTCATCAAGTCTTCTTTCAAAGATGGGGAAGCGGGCCGGCGGGGAGGGTTGCTCTGGAGCCCACCCAGTGTGCCTCACGCCGCTCTCCCGTCAGCACAGCCTCCGTCTGTGGACGGTCTCGTGGACGTGTGTCCGGGCCCCAAGTGCCGGGCTGGGTCACACTGGCCTCGCTCAGAAGGCGACCTGTCCTAGCACCTGGCCAGGACCCGGAGGAGCTGGAGGCCCCGTGGAGGACGGGGGCCCACACACACGCATGCACGCACACACAGACCCTCTGCCCCCCTCACCCTGACCCGCCACTGGGTCCCCAAAGCCAAGAGCTACAGACCACACCAGCCTTTATTCTGTACAGAGCAGGACCGGGGGCCAAGGCACTTCATTCTCAGGCTGTGTCAGAAGGTGCAGCATTGGGGGCACCCAGACTGGACCCCAAAGTGCCAATAAGTTAGGGGGGAAATTCTCAGGCTGTTGTCGGGCTGGAGCCAGGGTGGGGTGCCAAGTGGGCCCCCTGGAGCCACTTCCCAGCTCAGCCCTCCCAGGAAGACAGGTTCTAGGATAGCACGCCTCATGCTGAAACACAGGGCAGGGAGAGACAGAGGGGCCATGGGTCAGGAGGTGGCGAGAAGGGGTACCCAAGGGGTCCCCAGAGTCAGGGAGGAGAGGCTGAGGTGGTGGGACAGGGTCTTGAGGGAGGGTCGGAGCCCTCAGGCCAGGGCAGGGCAGGGTGGGGCGGGGTGGGGTGGGGCGGGCCCGGCTCTCACAGGTCTTCATTGAAGCTCCTGCAGATTTTCATAATCTGGGGCACCCTCTTCCTCCTCTTCCTCTGCCTCCTGGGAAGCCAAGGTGGCTGTGGGGGGAGGGGAGGTTGGTCTTCACCTCACAAACTGTCCCCCCACCCAGGGAGCCCCCCAGTTCCCGCCCGTCCCCCAGCACACACCGGGCTCAGTCCTCACAGTGGGCTGCAGCTCCTGGGACACGTTCACATACTTCCCGGCTCCCATCTGTGGGGACAGGTCAGAAGGAGGGACAGCCACACCGAGGGCGAGCGCAGAGGACACCAGACCGAGGGGGACAGAGCCACAGAAGGCGTGTGGGCACGGCCACACTGGCAGTGGGGGTGGGGTGGCAGGGCCAGGGGAAGGGAGGGCACTGGGGGCACCGGCCACTCACCCAGAGACGCGTCTGCACTCTCCTCGCTCTCGGGAACGTTCACATAGTCCTCCCCCGACTCCACTACAGGAAAGCACGGAGCCCGGCCGTTACCCAGGGCCCCTGGGCAGATGCCCCGGAGTTCCCAGCCACAGCCCAGACTTTCAACAAAACCAGCCAAGACTCCTGCACAGACGCCCAGAGACCTCCCCACAGTCGGCCCAGAGGGAGGCAGGGAGGGTGCTCGGACCACGCAGCCCACGGCCTGAAGGAGGGCAAACACAGGCCGTGGCAATGGAGAGAACAGGGCGATCTGACCAGACTGGTGAAAGGGAAGGCGATGGAGAGAGGAGGCAGCAGACACCAGCAGCGCCGGCCTGGGCAGCTGTGTGGGGGGCCGAGTGGCATGTGTGGAGGGAGAGGCCCTCAGGGCTGGGCCCAGTCAGAGGGGCCGTGCCCCGGTTGGCCCTTCCTCTCCAGCCAGGCCTGCCCTGGCTCTCACTTTTGTCCTAGTCCCTTCCTAGCACATCTTGTCACCGATATGATCTTGTTCTTTTACGTGTTGACTTGTTTCTCCATAAGGGTGGGGACAAGACAGGCTTTGGAGCCAGACGGCCCAGGTTCAAATCCAGTTCCATCACTAACTGGCCACGTGACCTCAGACAAGCTCCCAACCTCTCTGGGCCTCAGTTTTCTCATCTGTAAAATGGGATGAGGAACTACCCATCTCATGGAGGACGAACGCCGTGAACACTAAGTGTGGGTATTAAGCAGTAAGTGCTGCCGAGCGTCTGTTAAATAAATCAACACTGCCATCAGGCAGACGGGGCAGCCGAGGTACACGAGGGAGGGAACTGGGAGGGTTAACAAGCTCAGACACGTGAAACTCTTAGCCGGGCAGAGCAGGTCCTGGGTGACGTTAGCTTTTTTATCATGACTCTCCCTCGTTAGCTGCTATATCAGAGGCGCCCAGTAAATATCACGGATGAGTAAGCGAATGGGTGGAGAGAAGTGCTTGGACAGACGCTGGGAGCTCAGGAGAGGGGTGGCAAGTTGGGAATCTGATGGCCGATGAAGCCGGTGTGCAGAAGGGAGGCCCAGGGCATGTAGGGAGGAGAGTAACAGAACCCTGAAGATTACCAGACACGGAGGAGAACGCCTAACGGCAGGATGTGACCGAAACAAAGGGGGAAAAGCAGCTCAGAGGAAACAGAGACAATGCAGGAAGCAGAAGAAAAATTCCCAAAGAGCAAAGACAAAAGAAGAGAACCTAAAATCCATATCCTTCAGGATTTACAAGGTGACACTGCCTCCATGAACAAGAACAGGAAGCTCTGAAAAAGGGACATTCAGGAATCAAGAAAGAGCTTTCCGACAGGAGAAATAAATGAAATAAAAGGACAGTCCAGGAACAGAGCCAGCGAGGAATAAAGTCAAGGGACTCTTGCAGACAATAAAAGGAGGAGACAGAGAGGAGAGAAAAAGGGAGGTGTCCAGAAGACCGGAGCAGGAAGTCCACTATCTGAAGGACAGGGTTCTAGAAAAAGAGAAGAGAGAAGGCAGAGGAGTGGCCGCATCAGAGAAACATGCAGAGAGAGCGGATCGAAGGGGCCGTAGCGGAGAAGCTGGATGGTCAGACGGGCGACTCACTGGAGAAGGCGCTGTCTCGGGGGCCGGGGCTGCTGGGCGCAGCAGCTGCTGGGACGGCGGCGCACGTGGCCGTGGCCGTGGCCGGGACAGTGTCAGGAAGCACCACTCTGAGGGAGAGTCAGGGATGGGTGAGCGTGGGCCGTGGCCTCGGCCCCGTCCTCCCCCCGGGCCACTCACAAGTAGCCCTCGTTGTGGTAGTCCTCCTCCTCGTCGTCCTCGTCCTCACAGGCCGGCTCTGAGGAAGGACAGGGGGTCAGCACAGCCCAGGCCGGGCCCAGCCTCCCTGCCCACGGCCCCAGGGGCCCAGACGCACCCTCGTTCTCATAGCTGGCCACGCTGTTGGCTACAGAGAGAGGGCGAGAGGGAGACTGAGTCAGGAGAGATGGGCACAGCCTCCGCCAGCCCAGCCCAGGCCCGGGCCGGCCCAGCTTACTGCCATCGGAGTCCTGCCGAGCAGACGGCATTCGGTGGGAGCCCCCTGGGGGCTGTGGGGATCTCCTGAGGGTCAAAAGCCAGAGGTCATGCCTGGGACGGGGCTCTGGGGCAAGAGGGTGGCAACGGGGAAAGAAGCCCCCAATCCAAGGAGGTGAGGGGTAGAGAGGGGGACTGGGAGGGGAAGGGGTTACTTACGGGATGGGGAGCAGGTCTGGCGGGCTCAGGGGTGGACAGGAGGTCACAGTCGCCTGTGGCCAGGGGGCTAGTGTGGCTGAGGACACAGGACCAAGCTGAAAGAATGACTCCAGACACAATGCCCCTACCCCCAAGGCCTCAACAGTGGCCCAACCCCCTGAAACCCCTGTGCCCTGGACAGGCCTGAGGGCACCCATAGCCTTCCCCCCGCCACCAGTCACGGCCATGTGGGCAGCCACCGGGGCAACCTGAACAAAGGCACACACTTGCCCACAGGCTGGGGACTCTCCTCCCTACCCCACCCCCACGGGAGAGGACCCTCCGTGTACTCACCAGGCCTTTTGATCACGATGCTTCTTGGCAGGCTGGCGGGAGAGACAGCGGTAAGGGACCAGGAGACGCCCCGGCCCGGCCGCATGGGAATGAAGGGAGCTGCCCGGGCCGGGGGGGGGGGGGGGGGGGGCAGACTCACCTGTCCGGCACAGCACTGTCGTAGGTGTAGGTGTCTGCGGGAGAGACGGCCAGTGAGGCAGGAAAAGGGAGTGAGGAGGGAGAGGGTGACAGTCAGGGGCAGTGAGGGACCCCAGTCCATGTGTCCGGCATCTGATCACCCCACCAGCTCCCACTCACCTGGCAGCTCTCGGCAGCGCACACAGAGCGCCATCAGCAGCACAGCCAAGAGGGGCAGCAGCAGGAGGCCCAGCGCCAGGGGGAGCAGGATGGCCGCCTCCATCTGCAGGACAGAGCTCGGACCAGACCTGCTGCTCGCTGGACGCCCCCAGCACAGAACTGCCGCGGAGCAAGTGCTGGGTAGGGGGGCGGAGGGGCCCCGGGGCGGAGGGGCCCAGCGACACCAGGCGGGAGCCCGGCGGGCAGCCGTGCCCTCCTTGAGGGCTCCTGGATCTCCGCCCGCCTTGGGCCGTGTGCGTGGCAGTGCTGGCTGTCAGGCCCTTGGCCCCAGGCAGTCAGGCCAGGGCCTGGCTGGAGTCTGGGGCACCAGCCACCCTGCGTGGCCCCCGCACCCAGGCCTACCTGCCCCTGGGCTTGGCGCCCGCCTTTCCTCAGCGCCTGCCCTCCCGCCTGTGGCAGGAAGCTGTGGTGAGCGCCGGGTGAGGGCAGGAAATCATCAGGCTCCTCAGCCGGCTGCACCTACCCCCTTCCCACCCCCACCCAGCAGTGGGGAGAGCGGAGGAGGCCTGAGGAGCCACCCAGGTCCTCCAGGGTCTGCTCGTCTCCGTCTCCAGGACAAGGGGCACTCACACCAGTGGGCAAGGACAAGTGGGCAAGGACAAGCAGCTGCCAGCATCAGGCAGCAGCCTCCACGGCGGGGCTCCAGGAGGCAGCAGAGGGAGGCTAACACCCAGGCACAGGGCCCACCCCTCACCCCAGCTGGCCTTCCAACAGGGGCGGGCTCTGGGGGAAACAGGGGCGTGACTCACGGTCACAGGGAGCCAGCTCACCCAGCCCCGGAGCCCGCAGGAGTGGCCAGCGGCCGCCAGGAGCCTTGGGGCTGGAGGGGGCAGCCCACATTCCGGGGCGGGGTGGTCACTAGCACCCAGAGAGACTCACGCAGGCGGCTGGGGTCTGGCTACAAACTTTATTCAGTACAAATAGCACCGAGCCCCTGGGGCTGCTGCAGTGGAGGGGTCCCTCCTGCGCCCCATCGCCCGCCCTTGGCTGCCCGTGTAGTGTGGGACCTGGAACACGCCCAAGGCTCCTCTCAGAAGCTGGGCCAGGCCGAGGTTCGGGCCCGAGGACAGCGGTGGCCGGTGTGCAGGTAGGTGAGCGACGGCCCTCAGATGAGCACACTGGACACCGGCACCCGGGTGGAGCGGCCTCGCTGGGGCACCACGATGCGGTCATCTCCGGGCCCGGCCTCGTGCAGCAGACCTGTTGGGGGAGGGGTCAGAGCCAGGGTTGGAGGGAGACAGACACAACGCCTGGGACACACGGGCGGTGGGAAATGGATGGGGCCCCAGAGCTGTGGACACAGCGGGCACCAGCTTGTTGCAGGCAGACCCGAACGGGATGAGGGAGGCCTGTGGGCCGAGAGGTGCCAGTTCACAGGACTGGACACACGGGCGGAGGAACAAGCAGGCAGCATCCTGACGTCGGGCAGGAAGCCCCACTGACCCTGCACGTGCAGCTGCGCCCGCCGGCGGTCTCCCTCGATGAAGATGGCGGTGCCCAGGAAGGCCGCCCCGCCCAGCGCCCCGACAAAGGCGCAGAGCATGAGCGAGAACTGCAGGGCCCGGAACTCGGACAAGAAGGAGGGGGGCCAGTTCCGGCGGAGGCGGTCGGACATCTGTGGGGAGACAGGACAGAAAAGCAGGAGAAAGAGTCTTGGAAAGGGCGCCCCAAACTCCAGAACAGAGACTGGAGCCGGGAAGGGAAGGTGTCTGACCCCCAGGAGAGGCCCAGGCCTCCTGGTGGAACTCACGAGACAGTCTTTCATCGGCTGAGGACTCGAGGTGGAAGAGGAAGTCCAGCTGGGGCTGG